AATTGTTCAAAGCTGCATAATTTTTTTTATGATATTAGGTATTATATTTTAATTTCATTGAACTGTTTTGAAAACCTAAATAATTTAAAGATAATATTATGCATAAAATATCCATGAAAATGATGTGTTACGATWAAAATAAAAATATGATAATAAAAATGTACAAAGGGCGAAAATTAATTTCAAGTGTAACATGAGTGGTAATAACGTTTAAATTACCTACATGTTAATATTTTTAGTATATTTCTATGTCTTATACTTCTCACTATTATAGTTGTCAATATAATAAAAATGTAACAAATTACATATAACATATAAATATCATTTATACACAAGTCCAATTCATAATAAAAATATGATCTTATACCTATGTCCTATATAGTTAAAATACCTACCTATCATGATTATCAATTATAAATCCATAAAAGTTGTATTTTATTTGTTTTGTAATAAAATAAAATAAATCGTCGAAATATTAAATTACTTGACCATTATCAGAAGCGGTTTGAATGTATTATACTTAGTTGTGCAAGACAATATATAGACACCCCCCCCCAGCCCCACCACCATTCATCATAGAAATTACAAATAAATATTTTTTTATAAGTTTTTTCATATACATAATTTTCTTCAGTTGAGTTGTTTACACTTTTTATAATAGCAATGATTGTGTAATGATTTTTTACTTTTTTGTTAATAAAACATTTTTACATTGCATTTAAAAATTAACCAAATAAAAACAAATAGTAGGCACCTACTTACTCTTTTATAGTTTTATTCATATTGAAGATTTGATTACATTTTTTTTTTAAATATTTATAATTATTGTAGACTTTTATTTTTAAGTTTGATGAATTGGTGCGGTGCAGTGCACCAAAAACAGTATACTCAAACCGCCTCTGACCATTATGCATTCTGTTAAAGGTAATAAAACAAATTAGTGACCAGTGGATTCGTAATTAAATAATTGAAATGAGTAGTATAATATACAAATTTTTGTACAATTTWACAGTAATTATTTATTAACTATGCTTCCATGTACCTATCTAATCGAACTATTAAACCATATAGCAATATAGCATAGTGTTATACACTTATACCTATGATATATTAAAACATTTTATAAGCATATATTTTCATAAAAGTATAATAAATATTGAACTATTTTTTGATTCTATAAATTACAAAACCAAAAAAAAAATAGTGGTTTACGCGTTTATCATACAATTATTKACCTATAATTTTTTATAGAAACTTTTTTACCAAAAACAGCTGAATATGAAAGTGTACTGCACTGTACAAGTAACAAAATATTTTTATGAATAAACCTACATTAAATTGTGAATACCTATAAATTATGATGGTGATGAATTCARTATATCTAAATRATTTCTGATCGTATTTTCATATAAATAACAAAACATAGCCATATTATGATAGTATTGTACTATTGTGTGTATGGTTTAATGTCATTTGTTATTTCTTATTGATTCATCAAYCTATTCTTCACATATTAATTTGTCGAATACTTTATATTAGTTCATCAGTTTTACATTGACAGTAATAATAATAGAATTTAAAATACAATGTAAGTGACTGCTGCACTACTGTACTTATTAGTTATTAAAAATGCGAACCTTCAGGTGATGAAAATTACAGTAGCTGAATTCACATTTCTCTTTGGTGTACCTAGTAGGTACTATACTAGTATATTTATATATGCACGGTAAACCAATTATTGTAAATATATAATTATTTAATATATATAACAATAGTATATAACAATTTTCAAGAAACATACAAAACAGTTTTAATATTTGAACATTACAATCAAATTTAATAGCGTTTCAACATTTTCGGGTTCTTTGTAAACATGATCGACGCTTTGCGAGTACCTACTTAAATGTTATATTGTAACTGGTAATCAATAATAAACTSTAATATATATTAAAAGTGTATATGGGATTGAAAAAACAAAACACGAATTATTTGATTTTAAGATATATTTATTTACAAAATAATAAAACTACAAGAAAATACGTACTTATATTAGTTAGGTACAGTGTATGTTACTGCTTAACATAATATATCATGTTCATTAGTGTGTATACTTTTTTTTTTCAAATACAAAATTATATTTAATTATATTTAATTATATTTATGTGTTGCCATATTACTGAATATAAATCTGTTATAATAAAGATATATAACAATAATATTATGTGCATGCAGAAGTTGTCGATTAGTAGAAACCGTATGGTGAAGCTGCATAACCGTATGGGTAAGCTCCGTAGGAAGATACGTAAGAAGAAGTGTATGGGGCGGCGACTGCATAAGGTGATGCTACGTATGGGGCGGCGTACGGTGCTGCGTAAGGGGCAACATAAGGGGCGGCGTAAGGGGCGGCATATGGGGCAGCGTAAGGGGCGGTGTACGGAGCTGCATATGGTGCTGCGTACGCTGGGGCATACGGGGAGGTGATGAGTGGAGCGTACAGGCCACGTTTGCTTCTGTCGGTGGCGGACTTAGTGGCTGCGGACTTGTCGGATGCTGTTTTGGCTTCTTCGGCTGCGGCGGCGAAGCACACGATCATAGCGATGAGGGCGAAAGACACCTGGAATAAAATGTACATAATATATATATTACCTATATAATAGTGTTTTAACAAACGCATAAAATCTTAAACCTAACGATAAAGAATTTCATTATCCGGATTGTTCCTAAACTATAACTCAGGTATATTATACATCCATCGGGTTGTCATAGTCAAGAGGGGAATCTAGGAATGAAAAAATCTAAACCATGGAATCTAGACACAAAAAAATGCTACTATTATAAGATAGAATCTATCATACACAGATATTTTTTGAAAAGAAGTGTAAGCTTAAAGAATATTGCAAATATCTAATATTAGTATTTGTGAGACTAATAAAAGTATCACACATTTCTAAAAGCTCACTTATAAACGAGAAACGGATCATTGGAATATATAGTTTCAAAGGGAGTGATCCACTCTATCCACTCATACATATAGTACTTAAATAGTTACATATCAGATCGATTACTTAAGTACGCATTTCTACCACCTTACTACCTGAACTTACCTAACTATTTTGATATAGTAGGTATATCTAATGAAAATTAAAATAAACCAATCAATCTTTAAAGTATTAAAAAAAAAAAATAGCTGGCTACTTCAGAAATTCAAGTAACCCCACATAATATAATTGACGACGAAGAAGAATGAAGATAATCACATGCATACTATATGTATACAATTTAAACTGTTATATAATACGTATAAGTACAATTAATTTAATATCAATGACGATATATTATAACGTTGTATAAAATTATGAAGATTTGTAAAATAAAAATATAGACAGTTGTCAATAATCATAACAGATCGAAACTAGGAAAGTCTTAAGAAGGTATAGCAATAAAATGTACGGCTTTAAGGTATTGCATTAATATATAGTATAAAATACAAACTTGGAATTGCATGGTGATTTTGTGTTTATGGTTCTGTTGCTGTCTTGAGGGTTTTTGACGAACGATGTGTACGGTCGTAGATTGACTGATGATCACTGTTGGTCTGTYAGCCCCTTATATACGGTCAGTTCGATCGTCCAACGCCCAATTGTTATTCTCTGCGCACCACTGACATTTGTAATTACGACACCGTCGTTGTCGTCGATGAATGATGATGCCAAAACAAAGAATTCTAATCGCCGATGGACGGTCTGATAACACAATAATGGTTTTATACATTAGTTATACTTAAGCAGCATTTGTTGAATAATACACACTTTATTGTGGTAGGTTATTACTTTATTAGTATTAACTTATTACTTATCAGTTATCGTATTTGTACAGCTATATGATAATAAGAGACATCTGAGCATAATAATTTCGTTATAAATATAACTTCAACACGTCATAATTTTATCGTTATTATCAACAGTGATTTTGATATTGATCATTGATTTCATAATAATAATTGTATGGTAATATATATTGCTGAATTCCTATACGAAGAGTTTAAACTGTGATTTTCTGCAGACAAGTACCTATATTGAATTATCAATTATATCAAAACGTATATCACTATAATTAAAAGAAGACATAAGTGCTCAAATATTTCAGGTAGCAACTTTTTAGATGCAGGAAAAAACTTCATCTATATGGTCAGACACAAGTAGATATTTATGTCTACTCACTTATTTCACCTATTTGTCTTCCATTATTTAGAATACTATTTTCTATATACAGCATGCATGCAATATAAGTTTCAAAAATTTTTCATATATCTATCTTATAATAACCTAGACAACTTATTTTAATCGAGGATTGAAAAC